AATCTGTCCGCTGTACATCGCAGTCCAGCACTCAGAAACATTCATCAAGGCGTGCAAAACCGAGTTCAAAAGTGAGTATAGCATACTTCACCATTTTCAATTGTTTTGCAGTTGAGTTCTATGTACTGGTGATTAACAACGGATTTTATATTGGACTAAAAAAACACCAGTGGTTACTTTTAACCAAGGAAATCTAACTAGAATTTGAAGAACTACCTCGAAGAATTGAGCCCTAGAACCATGCGTTATTGGTCATACGGTAACATATAGCTAAAAACTTAAAAAGCCATGCACATAAACATACAATTTCATCATATTGCTCCGCTAAAACTTGAGTGGATCCATTTGAAGAGTTTAACAATGGTTGAAATAACCGAAGGTAGTGGAAGACGGTTACCTAAAAACAGATGATATTGGAGAGAAGAAATACATTTGTTGAATTGTCGCTCAGTTACTGGGCATGTAGAAAGAGATGATAATGTTTACAGTATTGTTGAGCTTTTGTACACAAATAAAAACAAAATACATGTAAAACGAAATGACTACTTCTGCAGTATGCTATTTCACGACACTAGATATTATGCCGATTCCAAAATTTCATTCATTCGGTTCGTGTCCCTTGGGCATACACGTGGTTCTGACTCCTGCTTGAGGATTTTCAGTCGCCTTACTTGATCCACCGGGGCGTTGTGTGTATTACACGACGTCACTACCACTGCCTTATCTCTAATTCATTGAAAAGCACTTCCCTGCACACTTAAGAATCCTAGTCAACTGCAGCAATCTCCACCAACTTTCGCAGTTTTCTACGTGCCTTTATTTAGAAACTGACGAAAACATGGAAGGTTATGACTTAGATGTAAATGTTTTAACTGGTATGAATAGCTGAGACCAGATAATATTCGATGAATATCAACCATGGTAAGAGGAAGTATGACTTGTGATAATTTCTAAGGACCAAATGTTGATAAAGCGTTCATTCTCTCGAGGCAATTTATTCGAAAATTTTTCCCAATAAAGCCAGAAACGTAATTACAATCAAAAGAAGATATCTGCAGACATTTAGAACACCCCTCACACTAACGTAAACCCCCGCGTTTTTCCTTTGTGAGCTTCGGAAAAAAATTGTTGCAGAAAATCAAATTACATTTATACTTACCAACAAAAAAAAGGATATACCAATCTACCTGAGAATGACTGAGGAGAAATTCATTCTCAAGAGCATCTTCCTTTCCGGAACTGCTTTGCATTGCTTCCTGCATTCAATTTGTGGTAAGATAAACACATTGCCAGCGAATCGCAGGTATGATAAGGTTTTTCAGACCGTTTTCTAACACTGCGTTTTATATGAAATTTTTGATAACAATGCTGATGCTCTGTATAACCTTCTAAGCTTTCCGCGAGATGAAAATGTTGAATAGGTCGGTAAGACATGGTGAAACCTACAAAGAAATACGGACTTGTTAAGCTAGTACGCCACACAACTCGGGAATAAGTAATAAATTTTTTTCCAAAACCGAGTCTGTTTCCTTTTGCCCTGATTCCTCTACTCATCGAACTTTTAGGAACAATAGAACTATGCTACTACGATACTTGAGTAATCCATCCAAAAAGAAAAAAATTGGGAATGCACGTTAAATCAAATTCCAGATCTAGAACACGAAATTGGATGAAGGATCGGCCAAAGTCAGATGAATTTTGCACGGTAACCTGTGGCGCATGGAGCGGTGGTCGGAGTGGCCCTGTGACATACACATGAGATTGATATCCGCACCCGTGGCTCACCAAGCCTTCCATCCTTCCAAACTCGGCAAATTGGTACCAGAGTTGCTTGGGAAGATAGCACCATTGCTCGATACATCGGTAGGCCACCTCGACTCATTATGAAGGTCAGATATGCATTCAATCACTTCCAACTATGCTTAATGAAGTCGAATGCATGGCTCATCCCTCACGGATTGATCGACACCGAGAACATTATCCTTTAACCTGACTTCTATTCATTTAAAAAAACATGAAATTGACATTCAATATCGAGGTGAGCAGAAATTTACCGTCTTGACTTGCTATATAGTAGGAGACTGGAGTGTTAGACTGACGTACGAAGTAATTCTCAAGACCGACTTTCTATTAACCTCGGCATTGATTGATAATTCGGTGTTTTTCTACAATAAGCAGACACGAAGTTGTTATTATAGAATTTATTAGGATACAACAGCTGACGTTTCGGCGGTTTCACCTTTTTCAGAGCCTGGGAAGGCCAAATTGAGATGCGACCTACTCAGCTAAACATTTTCATAACCCTAGCAGATAAAGCTTAACAAATAAACTTGCGTCAACCACATGCGACTATAATCAGCTGTTCTAAACTTCCTCATTGGAAGTCACGAAAAAGCGGCTCTGAAGAAGGCGATACTGCCGAAACGTCAGCTAGCGTTGTATTGTATTGTGTTTTTATGGAAGTAAATGTATGCTGTTTAAAAACCTCGCGATTGCTGAGCAAGAAAACGACACATTCATATTCCAATGCCGAGGTTAAGAGAAAGTCGATCCTGGGAAATAAACTTGCATTCGCATAAGACACAGCTTCATTTAAACATCTACCGTTTATTTGTTGTAAGTATTTCAGTTACTTGGCGGATAGCAGACGCACAGGGTAATACATGAGCGAGAACTGTGCCTGCGACAGGTCATTGGATTAGCCTGAGGTATGGCACCAGATCATGCGTGATGACAAGACACTCCTCCTTGCGGTCCGTTATCTGGATTTTTGGAATTGATCCAAAACGCTTCAAAAGTTTTATGCGCTGATGTTTTCGATTCCTGCGTGAGGATACCGACTCCTACTTCAAAATCTTCTCTGTTGTGTTCCTGCATCCTATGCGCGCCTAGTCGAGTGTTTGGTTTTAATTTAGATTTACCGACTAGGTGTTCTTTTATGCGGACGCAGAGCGGTCTACCCGTCTCGCCAACGTATTCGTCCCCGCACGTTTTACAAGAGAACAGATAGACTGTACCCGAACTCATGAAATCACCGTCTCTACCGCAAGGGCAAATCATGCAGCAGTTTTTCGTTATACATAAACGGTCATATAGGCGGTTGCGAACTAGCTGGCGCCTTAGAGCGTCCAATGGTATTTCTATCACTCTTACGGAATTCTCTAGACCAGCCAGTATTAAGCAACGTTTTATAGCTGCACTTATTTCGTTTGAAATAAAGGGCGAGAGGAACGGAGCCTTGTTTTCGCCAGACTTATCGCTCTGGGGCGTTGTTTTTCCCCTATGTCTATGCCGAGAAACTACACTTTCGTAACCATTTGAAATGTCTATTTGGCGCGCCAGTTTCGAGGATTCTTCTCTCTGTTCTCTACCTGTGCACGCGCTGGCAGCGGTTCGAAACATATTTCTTAAAAGCGCCGGTTGCGTATTAAAACGTACGAAGTATTATTGACGATTCAAAAGACCGACTTTCTATAAACCTCGACATAGATAGTTGATATATTTATTTATATGATCTTATAAATTGATCTTGTTTAGCTGATGTGAGGTTGGCATAGGTCTTCGTTGTCGTTGTTGTTGTTGTTGTTGTTGGTCGGTGGCTGACATTTCGGGGACTTCGTCTTCCTCAGAGCCGTGATGTTACGAGTGGGACTCTCACCAAATTTACCTGTACTAATAACTCAAAAGACCAAGTGGGAGTCCCACTCGTAACATCACGGGTCTGAGGAAGGCGAAATCGCCGAAACTTCAGCTACCGACCAACAACAACAACAACAACGACAACGAAGACCTATGCCAACCTCGCATCAGCTAAACAAGATCAATTTATAAGATCATATTGATAAATATTATTGACGACGTTATCCATTTACTTCAGATGTTTCACGGACGATACTATTTATGACTCTCCACTAAGGACATGGAGTGGTGAGCTTATGAATGCTGAATTCCAAAATCTAAGCCACCACATTGTCATAGATGGTACTTCAAAACGAAATCTGTAATTCTGTGCAGTGAAAATAACGACGTTTACTGCTCATTCTTGATTTATTACAGAACAAAATCACCCTCATATTGCAATGCGTGACCACCTGTGATGTTCTAATTCAATACTAACGACCCTAATGTCGTTTTCGCCATCCACGAATGTTAGAAGTGAAAACTACTAATAACGGAGTCGATATAAGTATGTGTCCTCATCTCTGTGTTAATATGGTTACGCCTTAACTTTCCACTGTGGGTATTTTTACCACAGTCCAGTTCTATCAAATATACAAGATGAAGCATAGTCTATAAAAACTAAAAACGATGAAAACAAAGGAACAAGTAGAACGAGCAGATAGCCGCAGAAAATCATATGAAAAAACAAATGAAGTTTGAAATCGGCATGCAAAATAGAAATGCTGACTCAGTTACTAGTTAAGCAGGTCAAGATAACAGTGCTATTAAAATTCCTAAACCTTTCGTTCTTAAAGTGTGATGGTTTGAAAATGGGCAAAATACACAGCATGACTGCTCTTTGTCTGACTACCAAACCATTTGCTGTTTCAAATTTCTTAGACAGAAATGCATACAGTTATTGGTAGCGAAGTGGGCTAGAAATGCCGTGCAATACAAGCATGTCACGTTTGTTGCTTCGACAACTCAGACCAACGAAGAACTCCGTCCCCATAACTTCAAAACGGTAAGCAAAACAATAACGGATTTATGTGGAGAAAGGCCACTCCGATCTTAGAACTGATAAGCACATGTGGTGAAGACCTGGAACGTCCCAAAAGCACTCCTGAAATAATCAACACAACCGCCGTTCAACGATATTCATAAAGACGGAGCCTTCGTTAGCAGCGGAACTCACACACAAATCCGATCTTGGGTGGCGGATCCTTTACGAAACGAATGAAAGAACAAACGGGATTTGGATAATACGTGAACAGGAGTGAGTTACAAAAAATGAGACTAATGTGGTGCAAATAATATTCAATTGCTTCCTAGATAAATGCCTAAAATAAAACGAAACTGACCGGCTTCTCGTTGACGTCAACAAAATATATTCGCATCTGAACTTCGAACTCTCCCCATCCAGTCTCTGTAACTTCGTAAGGAGGTTTGTCGCAAACTGAAAAAATTTAGGAAAACCAGGCACCACAGCATAAAATCTCTGAATCAAATACAACATGCACACTAACTCAGCCACACAGGAAAACTATCTTTAATGTGACGCTTTTTTATTCCTATTAAAAAAAATAGCTAGACGGTCACGTTAAGCTGATGAACAAAACAGTATGGGATAGCATACGATTTAAAACTAGCAACACTCTATCTTCATTCTCCCAACAGTTCATCGCCTTAACGTGGTAGAAAGGTATTCTTGGGAGCCGGGCTGGCGGCGACTGCCTGTGGTGGTGACGACCTAGGGCATACCTTGGCTAGTCTGACCTCAAGACTCCGGGCAACCACGATAGTTAAACCGGCAAAACTCCGAAAAAGTGGAAATTATGCTCGACTCCGCAAAACCATTGAAGCAGGGCCCTCCAAGTATCCAAGTAAGTTTACGGTTACACTACAGAGCTCTTTATCTCAAATACTTCTGATAAAATAAAACGCTAAAACAAATGGTATTTTAACTTATTATATAGTGCCTACTCTTTTTAATGGTAGGGTATGTTACGAAATATAACTTCAATGATGCTGAAATATTTGCAAAACTCCGGACCGCGGGTGTCTGCGATGGGGAACGAACGCTGTATTACCCTTTCCGGAGGCTAACGCTTTGCCACCACACCATGCGGGTCCTTCGTTTCGCCTGTCGTTCAGCTAGTTCTATCTATCTTTGCCACAGCAATCACCCGTCAGCGGGATTGGTCTGGGAGATCCAAATCGGCAACGAACCCATTTAAGCTGATTGGGTTTGGTGAACGCGCTACTCCACGGAAAGGACAATAGCGCGCTTGTTCCCCACCGCAGACACCTGCGGCCTGGAGTTTTGTAAATGATATTATTGAGCAACGAAAGCTCGGCAATGAAACACACCTCTTGTATTAACAGCGTAGCTGTCATGAAGCTTAAACTGAACTTTTCGAATGAAATCCGATGGATTATCGTCATTGAACATCTTTAAAAAAACCGTCCACTGATGGGTATGCTGATCCGATTCACGTTTGTAGCCAAACGGTGTTGCAGTATTTCCATAAACGATAGGCTTGATTATTCGTTTACCTTTCATACGCTCCACTACTTCCATTTTATCTACAATGGAAGGAATTAATAGTCATAACATAGATTTTGAAAAACAAGAAACTAATAATAAATATAGGTTGAACGAACGACCAATACTAAATAACGAAAAGTTCACAAACGTAAGCAGTTTGGTCGCTGAACGTTACAACAATTATTAGAACAACGCATCCAAACAGGAACATTCTTATGATTTAGCAATGTGTACACGATGGACATCTCCATTATTAAAATATTCTGAAAACACCTCAACGTGATTGAATCTGTTTTATCAAACTCGATAACCCATGGCAGCAAAACGAATCCTTAGGTTGTTCTGGAATTGATTCAAGAATTTATATTTTTACTCTTCAGCGAACAACAATACCAGGACATATTTATTTATATGATCTTATAAACTGATCTTCTCAAGCTGACGCGAGGTTGGCACAGGCCTTCGTTGTCCCGCACGTAACAACACGGTGAGTGGCCTTTCTGTTCAATATGGCGTCTATTTGAAAGTCTAATCTTCATTAATACTTTAACCTTTCTTTTCCACTGAATAATAAAAAATATTCTAATATAGAATACGTCCAGGCTCCGAGGAAGGCGAAGTCGCCGAAACGTCAGCCATCGATCAATAACATCAAAAACAACGACAACGACAACGAAGATCTGTACCAACCTCGCGTCAGCTTAAGATCAGTTTATAGGATCACATAAATAAATATATCAACTATCTCTGCCGAGGTTTATAGAAAGTCGGTCTTTAGAGTTATTAAGAACAACACCAGGTTCCACCCGTCCTGGAACTAGTCGCTTCAAATCTCCTGCTGATCCCCAAGGGCGACAACAAGTGCCTGTAGTGGTGACGCCCTGGTTCAAACACTGGCTAGGTCAACCTCGGGCCTTCAATGAACCACAATAGCTAAATCAGCAACACTGCAAAAAAGTGCCAATTATGCTGGAGCCCGCACAACCAATGAAGCCGGGCCATTCAAGTAACCAAAAATTTTTCAGATATGTACCTTAGCAATCCACGAATTTCCCTCACATGAGGGATCTCGAGCCGATCGGTTGCGGGGCTATGTGGGGCGTCCCCAGGTGCGTATAAGAGGTTAATTTCAAAAATGCTAAACACAGTAAAAAAAACGGTCCTCATTCCGCTGACCACGAGAGCTCTCAACTTCGCAGCGTGGGGTAGGACGAGTACGGAGAGGCTGCTAAAATCTCAGGGCCAAAAATCTATATTCATCTTCGCAATTATTACAAGAGATCGGGTATATCGTACCTGAACTCATGCAATCACCGTCCCTGCCGTACCTACAGTGCACGTACACTTGCATCCGAGTCCTCGATAAAAGACTTGCTTATGCAAGCAAGAAGGATAAGATACGACGTTATCGGCATGGTCGAGACGAGACGACGCCACCCATTCAACGCCGTCTATGACACCGGAGAAGAACTGTTCTTCGGAACATGCGACAGTAGAAGAGTCGGCGGCGTCAGCGTTCTCGTCAACACGAGTTTGTCCATGAACATCGATTCATTGGAACAGCTTACAATCCGAATAGGACGTTTACGATTAAAAGACGTGGATCAATTCTAGCTTTGACAATGTTCGTCGTATACGCGCCGACAACAAACTATGACGAAGAAGAAGTCGAAACGTTCTATATGGACTTGGAGAAGTTCAATAGAGAAGACCATAGATTCTTTAAGGTCATCATAGGAGATTTCAACGCCAGGACTGGACTTTATTGGATTGAATTTAGCCGCTAAATTCAAAAACCGAAGTCCCAAAACCACTATAAACTGGGGTTTATTCAATTCACTAGCCGGCTGTTGGGAGGATGCCGTTGTCGATAACATCGACGAAAAACACGATCGCCTCATTCTACATCTTCACGTTAGCGCTATGAAAGCTCAGTGATCGAAAGTCACCAAGAGACGTCTGTCCCCAGAAACACTCGAGCTGATACGCCAGCGTGGAATCGCACGAACTGCAGGCAACCGCGAATTAACGTCCGAACTTGCAAAACAATGCAGACAGGCGATAAAAGAAAATCTTAAAGAAAGAAGAACAGCAGTAATGGTCAAAGCTGCAGACGCTAGGAAAAGCATTCGCAAAACCCACCGAAGCTTCGCCAATTACAAGACCAAAATGATTGCACTCCAGCGCCCAGAAGGAACAGTTACAGCATCCAGAGAGGCAATGGAGAAAACCATTCACGAATACTACTCGGGTCTCTTCGATAGCCACTTCCACCTTTCGTCGTATTAAATAAAGGAGGATGGATATGTTGCACAACCGATTCTGCCTCCCGAAATCCGACATACCATCTCGTCGATGGAAAATCGAACAGCACCAGGTCCGGAGAGGGATAAGACCAGAACACCTGATGAACCCTCCGGCAGTTCTCGTAAACACACTGGCTCGGCTCTTCACACGTTATTTGTCTGAATTCAAGGTCCCTACTCAGTGGAAGACCAGCAAAACCGTGTTTTTGTTCAAGAAGGGTGTCCTACACGATATCGGCAACTATCGCCCAATCTAACTCGTATATAATGCTGAGATATTTGCAAAACTCCCCACCATACACCTGCGGTCCGGAGTTTTGCAAATATCTCAGCATTATATACGAGTTATATTTCGCAACATACCCTGTCATTAAAAAGAAAAAGCGAGTAAATAAAAGGGTTAAGATTATCGCCCAATCTGCTTACTACGTGTCGTCTACAAACTTTTCATTCGAGTCATCCTATATAGGATTGACAGAGCACTGGACGAAGGACAACCACGTTGGTAAGCAGGGTTTCGAAAAGGATTTAGTACAATGGAATACATCCACATGACAACAAGGCTCATTGAAGTATCACGAGAGTACAAAAGACCGCTCTGTATCACTTTCGTCGATTTACAGAAGGCCTTTGCCTTAACTGAGATAGAAGCAGTCATGGAAACCCTTGATAGTTAAGGAGTCCCGACTCAGTACATAAAGATTTTTCGCGAGCTGTACAAAAATTTCACGACCAAGATATCACCATTCTACAACGATATTAACATTGCGTCAAAAAAGGGGTTAGGCAAGGCGATACCATCTCGCCAAAATTATTTACCGCCACCCTCCAGAACGTTACGTGACCAATGGAATGGGACAGTATGGGAGTGAAAACCGATGGTCGGTAGTTACATTATCTTCGCTTTGCTGATAACATCGTTCTTATAATACCAAAAATTAGCAAAGCGGAACGTATACTTGCCGACTTTGATAAAGCATGTGAAAAGATTGGTCCTAGGCTAAATCTCGTAAAAACGACGATGTTCATGAAGAACGGATTGGTTTCGTATGCGCCCTTCACGCTCAACGGAGCGAATATCTCCGAATACTCCAGTTACGTCTATCTAGGTCGGGAAGTCAACATGTTGTACGACTTAGCTCCAGAGTTGAGCAGAAGGAAACGAGCGGCCTGGGAAGCTTTCAATAGCATCGAGGAAGTAGTGAGGAGAACAAGGAACACCCGGCTTCGTGCCTATGTTCAGAAACTTGGTGACTGCGTAAACAGGATGAAAAATCACTCAGCCTCATTGAACGCGCAGTCGAAATGACTATGCTAGGAGTATCCTGTATCACGCAAACAACAGAAGGGATCAGAAGCTCCGACCTGCGTCAAAGATCAAAAATCAAAGATGCCGTTCTGTACGCCAAACAGTCGAAGATAAGGTGGGCCGGACACGTAATGCGTATGAATGAAAACTAATGGACAAGACCCGTTAGTGATTGGATCTCTCGGGATGTTAAACGTAATGCAGGAAGACCACCGACCTGATGGTTAGAGTTCTTCACGAAGAGCCTAGAAGAAAGGTATGATGCTCGACGAGTCCCTAGAGCGAGCAGAACCCACTGGGCTACTCTTGCACGCGACTAGGAAAAATGGAAGATCTACTAGCGCCTGCTCGAATCACACCCAATAATCAACGGGACTACGGGTGATACAGGTGACCTTAGCAATAATTCTTTGCACTATTATATATCAATTCGAAGCTTACGCACTCGCTGTGTATAACTGAGTTATAATCTAAAAAGTACTTTCAACAAATTCTGTGGGTTAGAAACTGAGATATGAAAACAAGAACTTGGAGGAATTTCCGTCAAAGTCCGACTTTCCATTAACCTCGGCTTGACTAATCATCATGTATTATTTCATTGCTATGCTAACACGAGGTTGTTGCCACATTCTTATTCGGCTAACGTTTCGACGTCTTCGTCTTCCTCAGAGCCGATGATCCGAGTCGATATCCGCAATCCTTGGTATTATCGATGTGGTGTCTTCGCCATCATATCGAGTCGGATCTTCTTCTGTACAGCATCGCTCGAATGGAGCAAAGTCACACGGCTGTGAAAAAGATGAATACAGGCGTTAACCGAGTAAAGTTACTTACCCACTTGTAGGGAATTTACACTTATGGAATCAAATTCGGTAGTGGTATAGCGTAAACGGCTCGAAACATAAATGAGCAATGAGGTCAAGAAAATGGTACGAAAAGCACAGTGCAACGTTGGTTCCAAAAATTTTTTCGACGAAACTTTCACCTTGAAAATGAGGAAGGTCGCAAATGTGCTCTTGCCATCGATGAATATAAAATAAGGCCTTGGTAAAATGAAATACACGCAACAACTGCTCACTATCGACAATCTTAACATGTTGACGAGCACGTGTGTTTCTCGACGACCAATTTGACGACAAACCTACAAACCATGGTAGCCGGTGATAGCCTGAGGTGAAGAACCTAGCAAAGCTACCGTACTAATCCAGGAAGAAGTTACCAACAATCTCCAACTGAATGAGTTGAGAAAAACCATCAGGCCTCAGATGAACCATAGCACGAACCACCACCACCACCACAGGTATTTAAGTATGGTATCATCAGTTTTTTCAAATCCTGTTTTACATGACCCACATCACTTGTGCGGTTCCCAGAAATTCCTTCATTCGTTTCGCTTCCTCACATCCATCCTCCTCAACAACTTCCATATTCGGGAATCGCTTTAACTGCTGCTTGAGGATTTCTGGTCTTCCATATTAATGTCACTAAGTGCTGGGCGATTCGACTCTCTCTGGAAACCAGAGCGAGCAGTGGTAGGGGGTTCCCACATCTTGGAGATTGGACGCAGTTACCCAGAAAAATCTGGTATCGATTTTCAGACCCTGGAGTGTTGAGATGTTTCGTTGACCTGCAGCGTGGTCGTACCATAGCCTCGCGTGTACTATATGGAATCGTTACCACTGCACTAACTACGCCCAGTGATGCAATATGCGAACATAATATCACAAAATACATCCCCAATGGCTTACCACCGTATCGTGGTTCTAGTTTTCCGCAAGACGAAGTCGAACGGTAACCGATCATGTGGTGTTCTTTCCTTCAGCAGAGTCGCTCAAGCTGAATTCTGGATTCCCATCAGGATCATAAAAGAGTAAACCAGTGCAAGGAATCGATGCCATCATAGCAGCAACACAATCACTAGCCGATAAGTGTTCAGGAGATATACGTCCAACCGGAAAATTACCATCGAAACGAAAATTTTGTTGGCGCCCACAAATAGAAATGTAATAAACATATAATATGTACAATATACAGATACATGAACGTAAATATAAACTGCGTACAATAACGTAAGAAATACAAACCTTTAAAGTTGGATAGGTAGGATACATTTGGCTGGAGATGGCCCATATATGGATCACTATCACTAATAGGTTAGGAATGAAGAGTAGGCTAAGCATTAAAAACTCATTGCTAACATTTCTAGACAGCATTTAATTTTTCGTGAACACGAATTCAACCATCCCAACACCAGCGACCTGGTCAAAGCATATTTCTGGACCTCATCCAAAGCAAATTTCAAAAGAAATAAACAAAGAAGCGTGTGGAGAACAGACAAACAAATGAGTAAACAAAGAGATGGGGCACATCAAAAAAGAATGTGAAAGGTTTCGGTTCTGCAAACGTAAGATATCCAGGTCGTCCCGCAACGATATGCCTGAAGAAAAATGTGAAAAATCTTATGTCCTTTAATAAAAGTTTATGTGTGCAAGTCTATGAAGCACTTCTTGTCGAAGTTCGTGTTTTGAGCAAGTGACCATGTATAACAAGTCAGGCGGATAAGAAAGGAGTTTATGAGTACTCCTAAAGCTGGTAGGTGTTTGGTGCGTTAGACTATCCACTAGTGCAAATGATGCGAATCGATCGATGGGCTGGCTGTGAGGAGAGTGCCGCGTTGCAGCGTCAGCGAGGCCGACGACCACCCCAGTAGTTACGCCGTGCTTCGCTCTTACTCCTGGCTTTACCTTTATATTCCATGATTTCTACTGCTAATCTTCTGGAGATTTTTAAGAAATAATAGTAGTTATTTAATTATTTACAGATGAAGCCAAAACGGCGGTCGACTTTTTCGCCTTCTAGCGTAGAAAGAACGTTGAAGTCACCGCGCCCCAAGAGAAAGCGTTTCGGTCAGTTTTGGAACACTTGTGGTCCATATTATTTGGCTTTTATGATTATAATATTCACAACTTCTCGTTTCTCATTCCTAAAATTCATGCGTCTACGTTCGTGTTAGAGGCGCGTGTAGCGCAGTGGTCGGAGGCGCGCTGCAATACACATGGGGTCGGTCCTGCGCCCAGGCTCACCAAGGCTTCCATCCCTTCGGGGTCTGCAGATTGGTACCAGAATTGTCTGGAGGATAACAGCAATGGCTCGATATATCGATAGGCCAATGCGAGTCATTGTGAAAGCCAGATATGCTTTCAATTAAATCCAATGATGCTTAATGAAGTCAAATACATGGGGTTCACGATAACAATGGATGTGATTTTAGCTTATTACTAGATTTCTAGGGGTGGGTGGTGAATGAGGAAGAAAGTACTTCATTGTACTTTTTTGTTCAAGTGGTGTAACTACTACATAATCTTTGATCTGCCATTGTGGAAGAATAGTCTTGATAGCCTGTAAGCCTTTATGTTCACTACGCCATGCAGCTATCAACGTTAATGGTCTCAAAACACAATATTACGGTTGTTTCATGATTCAACGAAGAACCATACTCTTTCAACATTCAGTGTATCACTGAAGGGAGAAGAAGGCAGCTTTTAAGCCACAGGGAGAGAGATGAATCCAGACCTGCAATCCGCAGCCGGTGTCGCGCGATCTGAGCACCTCCGTGATTGATGGTTATAAAACGGCGAGAGGAATGGAAATTCTGATGCAATCGATTTATCTGAATACTGCCTATTTAAGTATCTATGAAATTGGTCAGCCGCGGAGAAATGGTGGATTCTGTTCGTCTGAGAACAAGAGTCGTAACAACGTATGCGTCCAGTTGGTGGATTTTCTAGTTGTAGTTTGTGACTGTGAAAGTCGTAACTAATTACAAGGAGAGTGTTCAAACAATGTGAGAACTGTTTAATAATTATCTCTATCTACTGCTTGTTCTTTTTTCATGGCAGGTGTGAAATGAAGTATAAACGCAATGATGCTGAGATGTTCGCAAAACCTCAGGTGTCTGCGATGGGGTTCGAACCCGCTGTTATCCTTTCTTAGGGCTATCGCGTTCAACACGTCATGCCGGTCCTTCAGTATTAGGATACGTCTTCCAGTAATTCCGGTTGGATTTTCTTCCAACCTTGAGATGGGTAAATAATTTGCTACCTTCTTGATAAGCACACATGAGGTTGTTATTGTACTATTTATTCATCTACAGACTCTGGAAAGCTCAAATTAATCTAATCGGTAAATACGTCCATAACTCCAACGGAAGAACTAGGATACCTAGATTTCAACCGCATCGAAAGAAAAGTAGCTTCTTCGTGTTGGGAATTAGAAATAAAACGGCTTCTTTTTCGTAGAAACCCGTGAATGTGTGTGCAAACTGTTTTCCTTCTATTACTCTTGAAAGCTAGCTATCATGGTTTTTCTGTTGGGGTTATGGAGGGGTTCAGCTGACTGGGTTGTAGTTCTGACCATCGAAAGCTAACCTCTTTACGGTTTAACGCCTCATCGTGACTGGAAGGTGATTCTGGGTGTCGGACTGCGATATACAGCGGGGGGATTCGTCCCACGGCAGGGTCTCCCAGGCTGAAAAGGAGTCCGGCGTTTCCATCAGGAAGCCTAGCTAAGAGTGAACGAATACCAGGATCCACCACCGTCCTGGTATCAAAGTTGTATGGTGGCAAATCTGCCTCTGATCCTCAAGAGCTGCGACAGACTTTGACTAGGCTGTCCTTGGGATTCCAGGAACCACAATTGCTTAGCAAGCAAATCTCCGAAAAATGGTGATTATGCTGGGGCCCGCACAACTAGTGAGGATGGGCCGTTCAAGTACCAAGTATCAAGTAAGTAAAACTCTGAAGGTGATATCCGCCGAAACATCGGATTTTGTGCGCAAATGAATCGTTTAGTAACAATCTCATGCGTGCGAAACAAGAAAGCAGCGAATTAATGTAACGGTAGTTTCGACGCTTCTAGTTCTGTGCACTACGCTAAAAACTGGCCTTCATTTAGATGCCAAGTTGCGCGTATTTCTGAAATTCATAAGATTACTATTCTGTTGCCATTTATAGATTCGTCGTCACCCAGTTGTCGGAAGTCGTCGAACAGTAGTGAAGAGGTCAAACCACCGCCAGAGTTCATACCATTCCCTTACAATAAACTATGTCCGAAGTTTCGTGATCTTTTGTCTAGGAATTCTGAGGACATCACTGTTAATAGGGATGATTTGGTATGTTTTTTTCTAAAATGTGGCCCCAACAGTCTATCACTTTTTTTTCTTCCGGCGGAAGAGGTTGCAATACAAACTATTGTTTGATTTCTAATTTCATGGTGTAGTAGACCCTCTTTCACAGCTATACTTTGTTTGTTAGTGTGGGTTGACATTGTTACTTGTATTTGCTATGCTACCAGTTCCGATCTATATAAAATATCTCTTGCAAATCCATTGCAGAGAAAAAACGCTTTGTTTTTCATTAAGGAAGAAAGTGCTTTTACGTTTTCATAACAATGCAAAATAACGAGTTTCTGTAGGCTTAAGCGCTATGGTTACTGTATGTTCTTATACACCACTATACTGTCATGAATTACTTTACTTCCTGTTTAGCTTGATCTTCAACATGAATTGGAGAAAATGTTGGCCCACTCTGCAGATTATTTAAGGCGTGCACATGGAGAGGTTATATATCTCAATACTGGGGAATATCCAGTCGAAGATCTACGGGCAAGGTTAGTCGTTATGCATCGCTGTAACGGAATACCTAGTGCTCTTTTATTTCGTTCGTTTTTTAGACCAATGCCTTCCTACAAACTGCGTGAATTTGTTCCAGTTCCTACATCAGTAACACAAGAATTGCAGGAGAGGTAGGTAACAGACCATTGTTTTTGTGCTGTTTTATAAATCAAGTGAAGAGTAATCATTTTTTGTGATTGGCTTGCTCCATTTCTCTTACAGTTTATGTGGCCTTCCTGAAGATGAAGGTGAAGACGATCTTGACGTGTGGCCTCCACACCATATCCCTCAACGTTTTTGGACGTGGTGCAAGGTTAAGATTTTGTTTGGTTGTTTCGCATTTCCGTGCATAATGCAGTATTCCATATAGGCCAACTTCTTGACTCCAATTGACGCTGAGTATTTGCGCGATTTCAAAGCTTTGCTTCTAGACAAGTACTCGCCAGAGGCGTTGAAATGTTATTACTTGAATGGTACGTTGTCGTTCATATAGCCTTTTTTGTTTCCTCCTTTTTTTAAGGCTGTGCCGAATCATCATCCCTTGGCAAGGTCTTTAATGTTTTTCAGAGAATTTCTAGAACTTCCCACTTGAGAAGTGGGAATTTTCTTTATCGGTTTATCCATCTCGATTTTCATTGTTTCAGTGGTCTCCTTATTAAATTGTTAGAGGTCCGAACCAAAATTATCCTTGCCTAGTTTTCGAAGTACGCTTCATTTGATTGAATAGTATCCCAAGGAGGCTGAAGTGCAGTTTTTCACAACCGTGATTGTGAATTCATCTAATTGCTGTGTATATTTTCACATCTGATTTGATAAGTGCATTACTTCAAGGATTAATTTCAATGTTGCTGAGATACGAGCAAAACTCGGGACCTCAGTTTGGTTTCGAACCCACGATTACCCTTACTGGGAGCTCACGTGCTGTCCATCACACCAAGCGAGTTATTGACGAAGCAGACACCATGAACGTGTCCATGGCGATTATTGTGTTTGAGACATATACTATTCACTTTTCATGGTACCTCATACCTCCATTATAGCAGCCTCTCCGTTGTTGTTGTAACTTCTTGTTTGTTGCATTTATCAGAAGCTCAGTTTGGCTTCGAGCCGGCAACTACCTTTTCCAGTTGGCGTAGGTGGTAGCACGTTAGCTCCCAGTAAGGATAATCACGGGTTCGAAACCCAAGGTTCCGTGTTTTGCTAGCATCTCAGCATCATTTCGGTAGTGTTCCACATCATATCTTGCCGTGGAAAAAAATTAAAAGTGACACATTACATAATCAAAGATATTTTTGTAAAATTGCCTCCCCTAAAATTGCATTAAATAAATAGCTTTATTAGACGTTTAGCTGTCTTTTTTTGAAACATATTTTGCAGCACTTTAAAAAGTGTCTTGTACTTTTTAGTGAAACTAATTTGAAATAGGAGCACGTTTTTCAATCAGAAATTTCCAGTTTCATCATTTCGCATTAGATTTAATAAATATGTGTGTATATAACTATAATGTTGCTCAGATATTTGCAAAACTCCGGGCAGCTGATGTCTGCGGTGATTGTGGGGATGAAAATAGCCGTTGAGAGGAAGGCGAAACGGACTCATATGGTGTGAAGGTGAACGCGCTATCCCCCGAAAAGCGAACAGCGTCTTCGGTTCCCACTGCAGACCTTTGCAAATATCTCATCAATGTTATGGTTGTATTTCACGTAATACCGTGCCATTAAGAAGAAATAGTAGACAGTAAATAAAAATATGTATGGGTAAATATACACATATCTATATACTACATATACATGCATACATGTGTATATGCACGTATGTACGTGCATACACGTATACATGAATATATATATGTATATATATATGACTACATAAATCTATTTAAATACAATTGTGCACGTGTGTATGCATATTCATATATCCTTATGTATACACGTATATATATATATATATATATATATGTATGCATGTATGTATATATGTATACATGTATAAATATAGAATGGTTTCCAAATTCTTGGCATGTTAATTCCCGATGCAATATCCAACTTTAAAATTTTTCGTAAGTATGAAAATAGTTCGTTTTGCCTTCCTTAGAAAAGCTTTGAAATTTTGTAATCGTGTAATAGATAAGTGATGGGTTAGGCGCTTCGACACAAAAAAACCTCAGTTTTCAAAATCTGTCAGGTAGCGCATTTGTTTACGTGTACCTATTAGGTACAACTGTGAGACGATCTCTGATTTATGCACTAATGTGCTATTGCAGTATATGGTTGAACTCGATCATTCAAGTCATTTCGCGATGTCTGGTTACATTAAACATCCCATTTTTAAGAACCATGGAAATATCGGAAACGTCAACTTTATCGGTCCAGCATCGCTTCTTGCGATGCACCAGCATCATCACGTGGTAGAAGAAAATTTAGTGTTGACAGTCCTTTTATGGAGAAGAAGAGTAAACAAAAGGATGATAGGAAGTATTCGCCATTTCTTAGACATGTTTGCACTATCCTTGATATTTTTTATAATTTTTCTATTTGTTTATGCAGGATCTCTGAACCTGCTGGTACTGTTTCTCCTCATGGAACAGACTTGAAGTTGGCGCCGTTGATCAGTGACCTGGTGTGCGCGGCAAGCCGAGAAATGCGTAAGGACGAACACACAACACCAACTCGCAGATCTTCCGTGAGACTTCAGTCACGTGATGATTGTGAGGAAGAAAATAGAAGTGGGTTCTTGATGAATTTCTCTGTGTGCTAGAAAATATCTGAATTTGTTCCAGTTTCTATCAAGAGCGAGCCATTTGATGTGGTAGATAATGACAACGTTGTCGATTCTCACAATGTATTGCATATCAATGGTTTCGGTACACGATCTCATTTGAACACAATGAGTGAGGTTTTGCCTTATTAAGGTATCCCGTTTATTCGACTACTAGTGATATAATTGACTTTCATTTCTAGTGAGCACACCACGTATAAAGAGGGAAAGTAAAGATGAATCAAATGACGACTGGGATCGCCCAGGTCCTAGCCATTCTTTTGGCGTCGGTCATAATGGTCGCTGTAATGGAGAATTAAAGGCGAGGCTTAAGAGGAATGGAGAGGTGAATTCATAGTTTGCTTTTGAAATAGCGCACAGTTCCCTTCTACGTTTCGTCGCTATATGCCTGATGTGTGCCACTAACCAATGACAATGATTATGTATACATTTCAGGCAAAACGAGAAAATGGTATTCATCCAAGCACACCTTTCAAAGCTTACAAAGTGGATTCTCCTGCACTGGCAACTTTGTCTGTTATCGCAGAGGATGAGGAAATTGAACAGCATTATCGCGATATTGGTGGTCGAATCATCAAAATGCTTGTTGAGCGAGGTTGGATAAAGTTTGTCCATGTATTGCTCAGATTGATCTTTAAACAAAGGTATTTAGGTTTAATACCTTCGTCAACGGAGCACGTGTACCGCGAAATCGCTGAGTGTTCCGCCACTCGTGAGATTGCAATTAGTCAAGAAGGAAAGGAGGATGATGACGACTCAGAGCTGGTACTACAACATTGAGCATTTCGTTTTGTACTATTTTATCCCTCGTCTTTTTTGTCACTTATATTTAGTGTTGTTTCTAATCTTGTTTCGGTAACTATCTGCTGTCTTTTTTTTTCAAAACACGATTTTTATCCTTTATGGAAAGCAACAGCTAGAATATAGCAACTTTGTTTGTTGTAGCCCTTAGTTATACCTACTTAAATACTTGGACTAACCATCTTCACTGAATGTTCGGACCCCAGCATAATTTCCATTTTTCGGAGTTTTGCAGGTTTAGTTATCGTGGTTCCCTAGAGTACCAAAATCAGCCAGGCCATAGTCTGCTCCAGGTCGTCAACACCACAGGCAGTCGCCGCCTTTGTGGATCGGAGGGATTTGTCACCACGTGACTAGTTTGATACCAGGGCGATGGTGGATCCTGGCATTGGTTTACTCCTAGCTCGACTTCATAATGGAAATGTCGTACTCATCCTCAGCTTGAGAGACTCTTCTGAGCGGATGAATACCGCCCGCTGTACATCGCAGCCCGACACCCAGGAAAACCTCTCAGCCACGCTGAGGCGATTAAACCAGTGGGAGGTCCTTGACTATATTGTGAAGAAACCAGTTGTGGTTAATTGAAAAGAAGTCTTTACATCGTTATGGTGGGAACTCTGCTACAAAATGTCATTTATAGAATACAACATTAAAGTTTTGTTCCATTCCATCAGCGATTATTCACCCCACTTGGAAATATTTTATTTTAAAAAACCGTATGAACTGTCAACGTAGTCACAAATGTTTTAAGCGTGTGGCAACAATTTCAAACAAAGTTGATTAATTCAGGTTTTTATCGTATTGTTCATTGAGACCTCACCATTAAGACATTGTGTCACGTGTTCGCCAAAGTTTGCTTACTTAGTCTTGTCGTTGAAATTGTCGCGAAATACCCAGTGTGGGTTGGGCGTTCGAATTACAGGAGTTTTCGTACCAGAAGCTTTTGTCTCTCCTCTCTGATTAAACGTACTAGCTTATTTTGAATTATTACCAATAGTATTCCAATTTTCTAGGATGAAGTGTCGAATGAATTACTTCGATGCCAAAAAGAATTGAAAGAGTTGGAGCCACGGTTGCGTGGGGTTATTTCACATTGTTGGAGTAAAGTATGTGCAGACTTCGCGTACTGGGAAACGTTGAAGCAGTTGGACGATGCTGACAATGATGTAGGTCTTTGTCGTTCCCGCTTAGTTTTTCTCTTTCGTGATTTTTTTTTTGTGTTCGTTATATGTAATCGTGCACCTACTTAGTGCTTCGGTACTTGGACCGCTCGTCCTCGCTTGTTGTGGATGCCCTTGCATTTTCTATATTTTTCGGAGTTTTGTTGGTTTAGCCATTGTGGTTCTTTGGAGTCGCGAAGTCAGCCTAGCCGAGATTTGCTCCAGATCGTCACCACCACAGCCAGTCGCCACCCTTGTGGATCAGGAGATTTGCCATCATGCGACTAGTTTGATATCAGGACGGTTGTGGATCCTGGTATTGGCTTACCCTTAACGGGGTTCCTGATGCAAACGCCGGACTCCTCAGCTTGGGAGACCCGGGAGGATGAATTTCCCGCTGTACTGCCCGATACTCAGGAACATCTCCCAGCCACGATGAGGCGGTAAACCGTTTTCATGTAATCGTATAGTAGTTATTAAATTCATCCAAAAAGAACACGGTTACATTTTACCACTATTTTGTTGTGTCGTGCTTCACTTTTTCAAAACTGTCGGTTACGATAGTTTCAGCTGTTCCTACTTGGTATCAACATGTATCGTAATATTCCAATCCGTCGTGTTCCAACACACACTGAGCTGCCAACGTTGAGAACAGCGCTTCGGCTTCGGAATCGTAAAGCAAGGCAGCACTATGGTTCTATGTACAAAAGACTACGAAAGTATCGCAGATACAGTAAGTAGAATGTTGGAACAGATATGTCGCATTTCTTGCCTTTATATCGTTGCCTCTACGTCTGTGGAAATATTTCTTGTGATCACTCTCAGCTTATTCGGTTTGTAAGTCGTCATGATTGTTGTGGTTGGATTTTCCTAGGATTTTCGTTTTCCTATAATCTTTGTAACTTATTTAAGTATTCATGTTTTCGTTCTAAGTTATTTGCTTTGCGTATAGCGTTGTTCTTTTCATACAGGTTGATCAGCAACGAGTTTAGTTTGTTTTCGGTCTTGTGTTTTTCTTTTGCTCCAAAGTACTTTTTTATTGAATCCTAAGTTTACGGGCTTACCCTATATGTGGAGTTATCGATCCACTGATGCGCATGAGCGAGCTCAGTTTTTGTGAATGGCACGCAAACTGGTATTCGTGCTCCGGAATGAGGTTTAGGTGATTTTATTTGTAGTTTCTTAGCGTATTTCGTTATGTGGTTTACAACAAATGTGTCGAAATTGAGTTTGGCAAACGAGGAATTGCTTGTGACCTCACATTTGGTTATCTCGCGAATGAGTAGTGTATCGCTTACAAAGCTGCCTCCGTTTTTCCACAGACCAGGTGTTTTTTCCCCCATAGCATTTTCGACCTTAGCCAGCCTAATTGTTAAGACATTTCGATACATAAGGTGAGAAAAAGCCATTAGTTTAGGACCATTGTTAGGTGATGAGAAACAGCAAGTCATGCATATCGCTGTGATATCCTCGTTGTGCATACAGTTTATCCCTTGATGACAGTTTTAACCCGGACGCGGATAGGCAAGCTCGATGAGTCAACCGTATTCTTAGTGTACTCTTTTTGCTTATATATCTGCAATTCTTTAGCATATCTTGCTCTACGATCTCCACAAACTCCTATCCCTTTCTTCGTTTCGACGCACCATACACTGGTTGCACACTGTATAATCTCGCGTTTACCTCTTTAGTCCCACGATGGAACAGCTCAAAAAAAGAGGATCAACACTGTCTCGAATATATTTAATGTTCTTCTGTTTTAGAGGCAGTGTAATGGATCCGCACCTTTGTTCCTCTATGCCTTGTTTCCCTTTTTCTTTTCTGTATGAAATATTAGTTCATTGCTGGTATTGGTCACTTTTAAAGAATTTAACGTTCCTTCTCCTCAAAGGCTAGTTTGTACTCTTTTGCTGGAAGACAACTTCGTTGAGAACGTTACTCTGTGACATTTCCTGAAAAAAGAAGAAGAGGCAAACAGTAGCAGTGCTTAATAATATCGCATAAATAGGCAATGATCTCTTAACTCGAAATGGTTAGCGGTTATAGCAGACCATATGAGTTTGTACTGTTATAGTATTCATCTTGTTTTTTCCTCTTTCTGTACATTAATAAATAGTTACAAGTGTTGGAATAAATAAGATCTATTTGCTTTATTGTAAGGTTTCCTGACCAAATTTATCTTATTCTTTCTGATATTTGAATACTACAAATAGAAACTGCACTTCGGGTTTTCCTGGGACATTCTTACATGCCATGGTCGTGGGAATTTCTGTATGCGTTCGTGAATCGAACTCATTAAACTTTGAGCTGGACTTATTGATTTGAAATTGGTTTCTAAAGAATAAAAACCTTTTTTTCTGTATTGGATGGCATCAATTTACTGCTCAACTCGTTCAGTACGCCAGTGAGTTTGTAGGTATTGCACGAACAAGGTCGCTCAATCGCAATGAGATTGAGCAGCATAGTGCTTTGAAGTCTGCTTTTTACAAGGAGAATTGCGTGGCTTCCCGGAAATACATACATATTCTCAAAAATTCGTTTTAGATAGAATGGATTTTCGCGTTCGAATATTATTAATCCTTGTTGCATATTCCTTGATGTCTGAAGGTAGGTGTTTGGATTGAACTAGTTCCATTTATATATCTGCTGGAGGGCTATAACGTATTTATTCTGAGATATAGGTAGTTCTTCGTTTGGTGGTAAGTTTAGCACTTTCAACAACAATGTCTACAGTTTAAACAGTGGAAATCTTAGAAATTGAGACTGGACGTTAGCGTTCAATTTTTCGTTGGCACGTTTCCAGGTTCGCCTAATTTACGATGTATGTGCAGTAGGGCTGGCACTCAGTTGTAGATTGCATTGGAATCAATGCGTATTTTCGCGAACACATTAGATTTGGTGGATGTCACTGCGTTACATACTTTTGTATCCGGTCATATTTTCATACTAAGATGCGTGGACTGTCCGTCCTCACGACTTGTGAGACCTCAGCAGATTTTGCTTTGGTTCCCTTGCCTAGTAATCGTTGTCCATGGTGGTGGTTTGACAAGAGCGTGGTGGCGAGTGCGAGTTTTCATACCGTGATCCGTAAAACAATTGTGAGTGCAGCCGGCTGACTTAAGTTTCCAACACATCCGGCTAACGTCTAGGTGGCCGCCCTGGAGGACGCCTGCATTCACGAGGAATCCACAGTATTTTTTCCTTCGTTTGTCATCTGTTCTTTTTATTATGTGACCGGCCCATCTGTATTTCGCTGTCGATGTGTGTTCACCATATTCTTAAAAATGAGGTAAATTTCAAAGATCAGAGTTTCGCAGTCCGACTAGTTATTCTGTGTCCCGATGACACTTCAGAAGATATCGTTCAAGCACACTGTGAGCAGTACACAGTATTCTTTACGCGGTTGAAGTATCATCCTATGTGTCTGCTGCATAACAGAGCGCCGACAGAACTGTTGAATCGAAAAGACGAATTTTTAGGTCCTTTAGTTGGTCGGTGATTTCTCTGGGAGGTACAAATATGGCAGAAAACTGCTCTCCCATTTCTACCTTGTCCCTCCTTCATAAGAACGAAAATTTTATAGTGATTTCTCATTAATACATATGCCTTTCTCGTCCCAATCGAGTACTATCTATTGAAGTGCGGAACCAAGTACTTGGCGATGTGGTATCGTCTCGCCGAACTCCTTTTCCAATGGGTGTGGTGAGGGGTTAGTGGAGAAGCTGCATATTTGTGCTGCAATTCCGATAACAGCTTACTAGTGTTCGTGTACTGGTCTGGTCCACTCCTTCATCGACAAGAGCTAGTAGGATTTCATTGCTTCCATACTGTCAAACGCTCTTGATAGTCGGCAAAAGGCAGGATTAGAGGCAGATTGTTTTGCCGACAAACTTAGGTGGCTCTGGATACGGTTTGGATGTTCCCCATCCAGCAAAATTCCTGTCGAAATCCTGCTTGCTCAACTGGTCGCTCCTCATCCAATGTCCTTGATATGCGCGAGGGCATAGTCTTCGCGAAGAGCTTGTAGAGTACACTCAACAAGCATGTTCGACTACAATGACGAAGATGCCTTTGGTCACCCTTCTTCGGCGGAGTGATCGTGCGGAACGCGCTCCAGTCTGGAATTTTTTCCTTTTGAAAGTAGAATGTCTAATAGTTTACGAGAAGTACGAGTAAATTGTGACAACTGTGTCTAAGGAAATCGTCGGTGATATCGGGTCTACATGTTTTGCCCTTTTTTCATGCTTTCTCTCATAACTTGGGCCTCAAACGGAGAATTTGACGTGGTTTGTCCAGCGGGGATTTTAGGGTGCGGCGCTGGGATTATGGAACGGAAAGAGTTGGTGTAGAAATTTCTCGTTATCGGTTTAATATTATTGCATTAATTTTCAGTCGCATCTTCGTTCATCAGGGTTGACAACGCAAAAAAAACTTGTGCAGATCCCGAGTGCATTTTTTGGATTGGTTGTTTTGCATGCTGCTTCTAATAATTTTTTTCTGCCTATACTGATGTATACCTTCCTGCAAAGCTCTTCTGCAGCTATAATTTATTATTAACTGTGTCAAGTGTGTTGCAATAGGTTCAAGTTTAAGTGTGCTTTTCATTTCGATAAACTCAGTGGTAATGGAGATGCGATCTGATATTCTCGTATGAGGAACTGAGGTTCTGCGCAACGTCTAAGACCTTCCTCAAGCAGCTTATAGTCTTCGACCGGGTCTTCTTCAGTCTGCGAATCATGCTTAGATAGTATTTCGTCCAGAATGTTCTGATAAATGCTTTGATTATGCACAGTTAGACTTTTTTTTTTCGTCGTCGATGACGTGGATTCTTCTCCAGTTTACGGCTGAATGGAGTCTTAGCGCGAAGAAGGCTGTGATCGGGCCCAGTACAGAATGATGGGACTACCGATGTGTCAAGTAGGCACCATTTTCTGTTTGTCAGAATTTAGTCGATCTCCACATGAGTAGTGCCGTTAGGAGATTCCCATATCCAACGGCGGCTTCTTTCTGGAAGAACAAGCTTCCATGGAAGAGACGTGCTACAGGCAGGAGTCCTGCTGGGCGGCAAAATTTCCTACCTTGTTTTCGCTCTCATTGGTCTTTTCTAATCTGGCGATGAAGTCATGGACAACAAATTATAGTGCGCTTTATCACTGCGGGTAACTTCCTCGAACATAGCAGAGCGTATTTAATTCGTACTCAGCTGAATCAGTTGGTGAATAGCAACTGGTAATAGTGGTCCTCTTATGACGCGTTGGTTGGAGAGGGCGGCCGTGCGAGTGGAAAGGGTCTCGTACGAGTCGATGAGATGGACAACGGACGGGAGGATGGCAAAGCTTACGCTGCCGACATTTGGTGACCGGATCAGTTCTCTGTTGGTGACAAGGGTCCCGTTGCTTAGTTGGCATATGTCGGTCTTCCTGTTCGTAACCGTAGTAATTTGTGCGAGGTGAAACTCCTACACCTACATTGTTGCACTTTTGTTGAAGGAAAATCTGAAAGTAAGATGCTTGTAATGTACTAAAATGCCTCATTTGTCTACGGTTGTTTGGGATCTGGTACCTAGAAAATTAAGATAGTGGTCCTTTAAAGTATTTTGCGAGTAGTTTTGTTGATTCAGGACTGAATTCTGTTGAAGAAATTCCGCCACCTTTGCAAGATCAGTTAAAAACAGTTCCATTGTCTACTCCATTGTTTCTAGATACGACTCCATCCGAAGTTTCAAGTATGTTTTCACCTTTGTTTAAAATCTTAACAGAAATTTTTATATGCGATACATCCACTTAAATAAACATTTAGTTTTTAGCATTTGTAAACGCCACAAGTATTCTAAACATTGTCAACTCTAGCGTTGTGCGGATTACAGGAACGAGAAGAGCATCATCGAACATAGTATCACTAGCAGCAGTTCGTCACCTCTATTCCTCACTCTTATTTCCTTTTTCTAATATCCGTAACGTTGGCTAGTTCGTATGTGGTCTATGTACAATGTGGCGTTTCAGGGCCCTACCTTGCCTAGTGCTGCAGCCCCAGAATTCGAAGATCGTAATGAGCCGGATGAAGGTGGAAAGGGAGATGAGGTACTAAAATGGATTCTAGTTAATTTTGTAACAGATCAGAAATACTCAGAGCTTCACTGCTTTTTTTGGATGTGCCTTTAGTTTGG